GCAGTGGTGAGGCTTGGAGGAGTGATTTAGCAGCTTGACCTGAACCACAGGAGTCTGATCCTGAAGCCGTGGGCCTCCTGCGCTGGGATGATCACAGTCCCGTTCTGAGCCAGTGTTTTCTTCTGCTCAAGAACTTCCTCACTATAGACAGCAGAGTGAGAGTGGGACATCAGTGGGACATCTGGACACACATGAAGGACTCGGGGACCCGGGGCAAAGGTCAAGCTCTGAGGGCATCAGTGTAGGACCTGTGCTAAATGCCAACCTCAGTCTTCTGGTGATGTAATGTTGCATTTTGATTTCTTCCGACAGTATGCACCTTATTCTGCAACACTGTAGAAAGCTGTTTTCTGGGAATGTGTGAGACTTCCCAAACATTAGCTGCTATAGATCACTAGAAGAATAACAAAGCGCAGTAAAAGGTCAAATTATTTGCTCTACAAAGCAGTGTGTCTCACATTATGACAATACATTAAAATAATATGATCACAAATATCAGTTTGCAATATTGTAGATGCATAATGGGCTTTTTTGCACAGAATTTTTTTTCGTTCATCCAATTAAGGGCAAGTTATTTATTTTTCATTGGCTCAAGTTAAAAAAAATACAGATGTGAATCATTACCCTAATTTGTTTTAATTGGATGAATGAAAAAAATTTTTCAGTGTGTACATCTAAGAAGCGAATGACATATAGGCTACATTTGGATTAAATAGCTTAATTGATATATATATATATATATATATATATATATATATATATATTTGGAACATTTGCTGCTTCAAGGTTATTATAATAAAAAAAAAAATCTTTGTTGCTTGAAATAAAATAAACTTTGACTGAAATAAATTAAATCTAAAAAGCTTTTTTATTTAAGCTAGATTCAAACAACATTTCTCATATTAATTTTAACTTGATGTAAAATAAGACTAAAATTGAAATCAAAATTAATAAATATAAATGCACAACAATTATTAAAATGTTAACTAAAATTAAATAGAAAATTGACAAATAAAAGCTGATTCAAAATAGTAATAAGTATCTCAATAATACTAAAATTACAGTTCACATGAGTTTTATAGACAACATATGAAGTTTTTCTTCAGATGCGACAGGTCAATGTATTTTCTTGGATTGAAATACATGGATGGCAAAATATATTTTTAATGCTTTTTAAAAAAATGCATTTATATTTTTATAATATGTTTTCAAAGATATACAAAAACTGGCTGGAAAATATATTGGTAGAAAATATATTTATGTTTTTGTTGTTGTTTTGTATATTTTGAAATAGATTTGAAAATATATATGTTTTCAGTATGTTAAAAATAAGGTGTATAGTGTATAGTGCTCCGTTTGGGCTCGAGCCATAGTGTGCTTTAGATTGATGGCGTTGGTCAACACATGCAATTTCATACTGGCTCAGACGCAGCATATCTCATATGTTATTTATTTCCCTAGCCATTTATTAATGTAAATTATTCTTTCATTGCCCTGATTAAATATCAGCTCACAAGACTAAAAAGAGTGTAAAATTCTGGCTCCTAATGTTGGCACACTTTGTCAAAATATACCAAATCTAAGGACTTTCTTGTGGAAAAACAGCACGCTTTTTCTTTTAATTAGCTTGATGTTATCCAGACTGGACTTTTTTAGGAGAACTTTGAATTGTGCAAACACGCAGTCTGGCTTCCTGAGCGAGCTCCATCACATCTGTCTGAACGCGGCTCTGTGATCGCACTACAGGGACCGAGTTTCCCTCACACTCGGAGATCTTACAAGCGAAGCGCTTTGTTTTCGCAGCTGAAGAGCGTATCCTTGAATATATATCACTTTGACAGAAGCCGACCGGAGTGAATGAGTATTGAAATCAAATCATATTCGTCATTAGTCTGCTTTCACGGTCTGCTTTATTGTCAGAGACAGCGCTCGGGAACATGCAGTGTGAAACCAACCAGCAGCTGCTTTTCATTCAAAGCCACTTGAGTTACTGCGCCGTGCTCTTCATTAGATTATCACTGAATTAACAAAGTATAAATGTCTTTGAGTCAAAATCAAACCAAGTTGCTTTTGTGTAAATGAATAATGGCACATATATGTCCCTGCAAATAATTTCTCGAAGAGAAGTTTATTAGCTGAAATGAATAAAAGCAGTACAGTTTAACATGTAGATTAGGATATATTGGGACACGTCACAATTGTCCATAGTTAACGTGATTCTCTACACCTGCAAGAACTTGAGGAGAACTCACTTCATTCACCCCTAAAAAGTGAAATGATAAGTGAAGTTGGTGAAGAGAAAAGATCCTGCAACATGGTTTGATATTTTCTGGCATTTTTTTATTTGACTAATGATTTAATTGAATTTATTAAAAAATGTTTTATTATAGACATTTCAAGGATGACCAATGCAAAAAAAAATTATTTTATTTGAAAAGTTTTGATTATTTCTAGGGTGACTAGTAAACTTGGAGGGTGTCAAAAGATTTTATTTTTGTTTTATCTTATTTTTTATTTAAAATGTTTGATTATGGATATTTTTTATGTGTGTTAAGGGAGTCCACATTTTTTTTTATAATTGTATTTATTTTATTATTGTATTCTGGGGGGATATCACAATAAAGTGCAGAGTATTAGAAAGATATACTATTATAAATTATATATTATACTGTTATACCATTTAATATAGGGCCTATACAATTTACACAATATACACAAATATAGTGTTACAATAAACCAACAAAATTAGAACGTAAACATGAGTAAATGTAATAAATTAAGTTGTTGAATAACAATTTACACAATATTCACAGTGAAAAAAAATACCTATTGCACATGCTTTGTAACGATAACAAAAGTTCAGATATAATGCAGTGTGAAGGCAGGGTTTGTCACTTTAGTCAGAGCAGATGGGCTCTTTCTTGTTTGCATTAAGCTGTGTGTGTGTGTGTGTGTGTTTGAGTGAAAAACAAGAATCCCTACTGAGTGTCATACATCTCAGGACTCTGTGTCTGTGTGTCTTGTCTTGTGTCTATAGGCTCCTGACCGTCTCCTCTTAGTTTGAAACTGTTGCCGATGTTTGGATTTCTGGTAAAAAAAAAATAGTTTCAGGATACAGCTGATATATGTGTGACTCATTGTAATGATTTTCATCAACTTCCTAGCAAGCACATAGGATCACCTGGCCGTCATGATGGTGATTTTGCATGGGCAGACATCATTCATCTTATTCTAATTATTCATAAAGCAGAGGCGTTGTTATCCAAAGCAATGCATTGCCAGTTACAGAAGTTTATGAATCAGATTTGAACCTGTAACCTTTGGATTAGCCCACATCTTTAACCACTAAGCCACAGCACCTCATTTACACCCTGACAGAGGTTTTCCATCAGGACCAGCGAGACTTCAGGTCAAGCTTCACCCGAGGAAGGTATTTTAATCCTCTTTCTCTGTCTGTTTCAGATGGCATGGGCACACACACACACACAAACACACTCCGTCTGAGAGCAGCGCAGAAGTGCTTGAGCTACAGCCAATCTTGATAAACTCAGCCGTTCAGAAATCATTGTGGGAAAGTGTGTTGTTTGCTTACCTGTCAGTTATTCTATTAGTCTGAGATCTGGTGTTGATATCAAGCACGCTGATTTCTATTAGAGCCGTGAAGTGACGCAATCACAGATAAGAGTGCAGTTTCTGATTGAGCCAGAAAGCTTTGGCATTTGCTTTTTAAATCAGAATGTCTCATTAGTGTTTATTTAATATGTCACTGATTTGAATTTTCTCTTTCATTTTCGTAGTCCTTAAATAGAGCGCTGCATAACTTTGACAATGTGCCAAATTGAAATATACTTGATTTATTTGTTGCAAATGAACGGATGTGAAACCCGAGAGCATTATGCAATCTTAATCCTTATAGGCCTAACTAATTACTTAATTATAGTAATTACTATCTATATATATCCAAAAGAAATATTTTCTAAAATAGGTTTTAAAATTATTTTCTACCAATATATTTTTGGCCTTTTTATAAATTGGCCTTTTAAAAAAATATAAACGTTGGCCTATTTTATTAAAAAGCATTTAAAAATTGTTGTCTACATAACTTATGTGACCATATAATACATTTGAATAAAAATCAGCAAGTGTTTTACATTGCCCCAAAAATATTCAAATCTTTGTCAAGCATGTTTGAGCTACCAGAGCAGGCTATTGCACAGATTTGGTGCGCATTTGATGAGTGATTTGAACAAACTCTCTAAGCCTAATTATTCAAATGTGGCACATAATGACATAGGCTTGCAAAAATAAGAAATAGGCTATTAAATCCTGGTCGCTCTCTAAAATTGTGAGTTGCCTGTTTTTGACTTTATCTAGCAACCAAGGTAAGTAACTCCAGCAGCTGCATAGCAACGTTTAAACACTCAAATGCACAGCAAGACACTGGGAGAACTTTATGACAGCCGCTCACATTCCCTTCTACTTAGGCGTATTATCAAGTGAACCGAATAGAATCGAGCTGAATGACTCCAGTGTCTCGCCCAGGTGAGCGCGTTACCTGATCTTCTTGCGCTCCAGCTACGCTGCTGGCGACGCGACGGTCTAGAAGCCATTATAATAAGCGACGCGATCGAATCGACCAATCAGAAGGCTCTCGTTATAATCAGCGGAGCGCCGCGCGCTCGCTTGCGTCTTGGATTATCATGGGAGCGCTGGAGTGCGTCGCGTCGCGTCGCGTCGCGTCGCTGGCTTGTAACGTATCATGTGATAGGGGCTGGAATTTGACACCTCAAGGGTTCAAAACTCTCGTGTGTTTATGGGACTTGATTTTGGCAGGGCTCCTGCGTTTAGAGTGGAAGTACCGCGCGCGAGCTGTCTGGGTCAGTCAACACAACCCGAGACACAAGTTTATGTCAAAAACGTGGATGTTCAGAATTATGCATCATCACTACAGGGAGAGGTCGAGAGGAAACATTTTAAGGAATACATTTGCATTATCTGTGGATTATTTTCACTTGTCCGTTTCTTAATTTATTTCACTCAAGTCCATGACAGGAGAGCTCGATCAGCACCGAAAAGGTAGGATTGTATATTTCTTTTCTTTTCTTTTTGTCTTGTTGCAGTAAGGCATTGGCCTAAAGTTTGCGTCTTTTAACGTTTTTTAGCATAGCCTAATTATTTCATTTATATGTTAATAATCTGTGTATGTATTTCTTTTGGCAGGACCTTTCTTATTGTGGTGCTAAATAGAAAAAATGCATGCCATTTTCTCACATGTCAGATTTATTTTCGATAAAAAAAATGTATATATGTTAACTTGTAGCTAATAATAAGTAATATAACGTAATTGCTTTACTTATCTAGCAACCAAGGTAAGTAACTCCAGCAGCTGCATAGCAACGTTTAAACACTCAAATGCACAGCAAGACACTGGGAGAACTTTATGACAGCCGCTCACATTCCCTTCTACTTAGGCGTATTATCAAGTGAACCGAATAGAATCGAGCTGAATGACTCCAGTGTCTCGCCCAGGTGAGCGCGTTACCTGATCTTCTTGCGCTCCTCTCCACTCTGGGGTCGTATTATGGCCATTTGTGGTTCTTTAAGTCTTATATCCTGCTAAGAAGTCTCATATGCTATGTATGCAATCAGTTCTCAGTTCTATCAATTTGATCTCAGATCTGGTTCAGGTGCATTGTTTTTCTCCCCGTCTGTTCTCTGCTGGAACAAATGCACACCACAGCACTGCTGTCTCCTCTTGTAAATGTCTTTTTAAAAGATTTGGAAAGTGCGAGATTCTTACGCAGAAACAGGCCCATATGTAGCATCCTATACCTATATCCCACCCATCTGGCTGAGTTGGTCGGCACGTTTGTTGAGCAGGTAACATTGCATTTCAGTATCGGATTGCAAACACTCCCAAATAGACATCAGGCTACTCCCTGGTATACTGTAATCCTTGGATCAAAATGATTAATTTATTTGTCTGTTGGCATGGTATTATGTGACTAAGGCAGCAGGGTAGACTGTGGAATTTCTCTCGGGTTATTTGTTATGTCATGTTGAAAGATTAAATATGAATCTTTTTTTAAGATGCACAGCATATGGTATTTTTTCACAGGGCACGTGATGCGCTTTATGGTGATGCTGCTATGATGAGTTTTGTGGATCCCCGGTATTATCATATGTGGGTCTCTTTAGTGAATGACCTGCCATGTATTCATGATGAAATGTCTTTAATGTGCTGCGTTTTCCTGTTGCTGTGATAGATCGGGTGTGCTGGCACTTAACGCTCAAGTGTCTGAATCACACCTCCTTTAAGAGACACTAATGCAAGCGTCTAGCCCTTTTCAGTTTTACTCTCTGCTGAAAGCTGTAATACCGTTTAATCACTTCCAAACTGTCTATTGTTGGAGAATTGCTCACCCGCGATGGAGTTTCCACCTAGTCACTGTTTACTTTAATGCTGGATCTTATAGGAGTTCTCACTTGTGCAGGAACCAGATTTTACTTTTTTCTTTTTTGTCATACAAAAGAAAAACAAAATGTCTTTAAAATCAGAAATTAATACATGATTTTATTTGTATATATAAATTATTTTATTATTTCTTTTAATAAAGTTTTAAATGTAAAAATATAAAATGTCACTAAATAAATATAAATACTTAAAATAGTTAATGTTTTAAAATGAATTGCTGTTTTAAATATTATTAATAAATCATATTATAAAATAAATAAGTTTTATTAGACACATTTGACCCTGACAACAAAAGACAAGAAGTGTTTTCTATGAAAACATGTTTCTGCTACAGAATTGTAAAAAAATAAAATGAAAAAAGGGTCTTTTTATCACTTTTTATCTCAGTTCTGACACTTTTTTTTCACGTTCACATCTCAGAATTCTGACTTTTTTCTCACAGTCTTGAGAAAAAGGTCTGAACTGCAAGATATAAACTTAGAACGACAAGATATAAAATCTATCTCATTGTGAGTTAAAGTTGCAGTTACCTCTTTTTTTTTTATTAGTACATGGTGGAAGCAAAAACAAGCAGAATTGTGAAGATGTAAACTCAATTCTGAGAAAAAAATCTAGGATTGCAAGATGTAAACTCGGAATTGTGAGAAAGAAAGTAAGAACTGTGAGTTTATATCTCGCAATTGGAGAAAAAAGTCTAAACTGTGTGATATAAACTCATAATTGCATGTTAAAAGTCTGAATTGCGTTTTATTATTTCATAATTTTTTTCTCCTTTTTTTAAAAGGTAATAATTTATTTTGCAATCCTAACTATGCTCAAATATATGATTAGTTGCATTTTAGTTTATTTATCCATTATTTTTCATCCATCTTTGACCCAGTAGATCAGAACTTTCCATGTTATACCATGTATATATTTATCTCAGAATTCTGACTTTTTTCTCACAGTCTTGAGAAAAAGGTCTGAACTGCAAGATATAAACTTAGAACGACAAGATATAAAATCTATCTCATTGTGAGTTAAAGTTGCAGTTACCTCTTTTTTTTTATTAGTACATGGTGGAAGCAAAAACAAGCAGAATTGTGAAGATGTAAACTCAATTCTGAGAAAAAAATCTAGGATTGCAAGATGTAAACTCGGAATTGTGAGAAAGAAAGTAAGAACTGTGAGTTTATATCTCGCAATTGGAGAAAAAAGTCTAAACTGTGTGATATAAACTCATAATTGCATGTTAAAAGTCTGAATTGCGTTTTATTATTTCATAATTTTTTCCTCCTTTTTTTAAAAGGTAATAATTTATTTTGCAATCCTAACTATGTTCAAATATATGATTAGTTGCATTTTAGTTTATTTATCCATTATTTTTCATCCATCTTTGACCCAGTAGATCAGAACTTTCCATGTTATACCATGTATATATTTTTAACGTCCATTTAATTTTGATGAAGCGACTACATAGCGAGTGTAGGTTCCGTGACTCTGTGTGCGTGGAAACGGAGCAGTACATGAGTGCCAGGCGTTCACACGGGACACAGGAGCGCCGTGGTGTTAGTAAGAATTATGGGCCGCAGTCACCGCAGGGCAGTCCACCGCTGGATAATTTATTACAGCCTCCACTAATGAACATCCTAGTTGTGCAATAATGAGAAACACCTTATCCAGGGGCAGAGCGGGGCAGAAGGACACTAGAGCCCGCAGAGAGAGGGTCCGATTCTTACATAAAGTTAAATACTAGTTTTGTGCAGCAAGGTGTTTGATGTAAAGTCTGGTGCACATTGTACAGATTAGTTTGGACAAGAACCGCCCACTTAGACAGAAAGAAACCAGCTGACTGAGAGGACATTTGTTTAGGGGCAAGTTTATATGCAATATAGAATACCTCAGTATCATTATGGAGAAATTAATTCAAGTAATTGCACAGCAGAAAACAAAAACCTCAAAACAAAAAGAAAGTTTATTGACTCCAAAAAGTTATATGTACTGATTATTTCACAGATACTGAATATACAGCGTTGCTCATTTACATTTTTAATGTTCCTGCTGAGTGCCTCAGTCAAAAAAAGATCTGATGCTGCCAACCTGGAAAATCTTACCTATTCAGTGATTATTTCATCCTCAAAACCTTGAAAACATAACTTAGTTTCCAGGAGGACTTATAAACGAAACATGTGTGCTGTTACTCCCAGAAGCCAGCTAAAGTGAAGTTAGAGCTTTCCAGATCAAGAAGTGCTTTCCGGTTTTGTGTTTTTGTGATTTTCAACAGATGGTCAGTAAACAGACTGTGCGCTAGTGAGACTAGTTAAATGCTAACTGCTTAGAAAAGAATTATAGACCAATGATAATAGACCGATAATAAAATGAGTTCACTTTAATTTTTCTCATATAATGCGTCACATTTTATTTTAAGCATCATCAGGACTTTTTTTCTTTTCAAATGTTGCGTCACAATCAAATTGTTTTTGAATTTGTAAATAAAACACTACTGGAGTGTGATTTACAAGAGAATAATATTTCAGTTTTTAACAACTTAAAATGTTTAGTTCAATGTGTTATTTGACATTTATTTGTAATCGTTTGAGAAATTTTCTAGCAATTTTTAAAATTGAGTGAAAATTGTTTCTACACCAGATACATGCAATATATATATATATATATATATATATATATATATATTGCATGTACAAATACAAAGGAGGATGTATTTAATGTAATTATTGGTTGTTTTGGTCAACGATAACCACAAACTTGTTTCCCCCTGAGAAATACTTCTTAATTATCACATTTTCTGTCGAGTTTCAGACAGGATCTCAACAATGTCTCAAACTGTGCTCAGATTTAACAAGATGCCAATCAAAAATCAGCGATCTCAATATGAACTCAAACATTTCTGATCAAATTCTTCCAACACCAAAGAGCTGCTTGCACATAATTTTTTATATGCTATACCTACCTACCTATACTCTGTATGTCGACTGTTGACTCAATTTGTCTATTTTTATTTATGCATTTCTCCTAATCTATAAAAGAGCAACATTTTATTGCAATAAAATGTTCCTCTGGTAAGGATTTGAAGCAGTATGCCACTGTATAGAATGTCATTTTGAAGTAGCAGTGAGCAGTGTATGAGTTTGTGCTTGTGTGCAGGATAGTTGGGAGTGAAAACGCATCGAGTTCACTCAGCAAACTCAGCCATGTGGAATGTTCTGTAATGTCATCAGAGTAAACAAATACAAACACTTTTGAGAATTCATCTCTTTCTCTTTTTCTCCTTCTGTCACTTCAGTTTAGCTCTCAATCTCGGTCTTCATTATTCCCAATAACACACATTACCCGCCCAGATTTCTCCTTTGGCTCCCATTTCTCCATCTGACAGCTCGGACCCCACAGCGAATGCACACACACTGCTGAAAAGTGTACGCGATCCGTTTCACACACACACGCTGGATTTTATTATTTGCGAGATGTTTTTGATTCATCATGTCAGTGAGCAGGTTCATTTGTCTTAATGGAGCTGACAGATGTGTGTATCTGTATACACCACAGAGAAACAAGGAGATGAGAGATAGATGGTTGTGTGAGAGTGTGTGTGTTCACAGCCGGA